TTTGAAAAAATTTAAGGTAGCTGTGGATGCTGATGATAAAAGTTTTGTTAGTCAACCATGTTGTGCCCAACTTTTGAATAGTATTTGGCATGATAAAATAGAACCAACTCAATTCACATTACTTCAACGTATTGGATTATTATTAAGTATTTGTACATTTGGTTTGTTTGCACCAGTTTTTGTTTCATTCCGTAAAGTCAAATCAGCTCCTATCGATTTTGTGAATGATCGAAAGAGAAATAATAACATGATTGTTAATGAAACAGTACAAGAAACAAAACAATTGTTACCTAAAATTAAAAAAAAGTAAATGTTCAATTTTTGTTTTTCTTAAGTACAAGTCTACTATAAGTTTTTCGATGATTTTTAACTACAGAAAAGAATATAGATAGGCTTCTAGATAAAGACTTTTTCTATACAGTAGTGTTTCCCTTACTAAGTTCTATTGTTCAATTAAATACAAAAGCGTAGAAAATGCATGTATTTGTCTGAAGTTTTTAGAAACATGTAAGCAAATAGCATATGTATGGAAATATAGAAGTTTTATTAATGTGTACTTGCAACATGGATAGAATTTTACTAAGTTTTGCATGTTATTGCAAATGGGTCACAGTGACAAAAACTGTAACTAAAGCAATTCTGCATGGACATGCAAGTTCTGCCATTTTTTTAGTATACACGATATTTCATGTAAGCATTTAGTTTTTCACTTCGTAATGTATTTATTTATTGCCGATTAAAATGAAATCGTTCTGACATATTCACACTATAATGACTTAAAAACCTTGTTCACTTTTTCGAATTTCGGTATTATTAGTACTCATGTTCATACGTACCGTAGTAATTATCAGACAATCACAGTTTAAAATTGTATTTCTCATATAAGTACATGACCGAATAGTAAAGAAGTTCGCCTTATACAACAAAGCACTTATGTTGAGATCTTATTTTCGGACAAATCTTCTGCGTATTTATGTATGTTTACCAAATGTGCTTCGTTTGTTTTTTTTTGACATTTTAAAATTATCTTGTATGCATACACGTGAGTTCGCTATAAAACCATTCATACATTCTTACATTAAGAGGAAAAAAAACCTAGGCTTCAATATTCCGAAGTACTGAGTGTGAGTGTGGGTCCGCGGACGAAAAACAGAATACCCACACGCATGATAGGACTGTTAACTATATGATTTCAATCTTGAATATTTGCATTTAGATTAAAAGATCATGGTATAAATTATTCTGATATTTATGCATGGCAATCAGATTGTTATTTTCAAGGATGTTTAGATTATTTTCGTCATTTAAAACAATTTCATGAATCACCACTTATTAAGTTTTCATATAATTCTGCTAGTTATATATTCTTTCTATTACTCTTTTCTTATTATTTATTATTCGATTTTAAAAGTCCAACAAATGAGAATTTACGTGCACATTGGACAGAAATTTTACTAATTATTATTGTAACAACAATGCTTTTTGAAGATATTCGACAAGTAAATTATTTGAAATATATACTCATTTTTTTTCAATATATAGTTTTGCTTTTGTTGATAGTTCTTTTGGCAAGATAGTCAATCAATAATTGGAAAATTGTCTATTTACTTTATAAGAAATCTATTTGTTAATTTAATTCGTATTACATCATATATACTTTTTTATATTGGTTTTATTCTTCTTTTTACATATACATTCACTGATGAAGATTTATCAATTGCTAAAATTATTCTTGCTTATGATCTTGAAATTTGGTATATACGATCATTAGCTTTTCTTGGTGTTGTACGAAAAATGGGACCAAAACTTGTTATGATACGAAAAATGGTATTTTGAAAAAGTTAATTTTTTTTGTATTATTTTAATTTTTATATTTTTAGCTCATTGATTTATTTTTCTTTACATACATTATTTTAATTGCAATGATTGCATATGGTGTTGCTTCTCGAGCTATGTATAAATACAATGAAGATATAGATAATAATACTTTAACATTTGATGGTCGTTCAGTTTTTCGACATATTCTTTATCCGAGTTATTATCTTATGTATGGATCAACAGAAAACGAATTAGAAGCACTTGATCGTATAGTTTTTTTTTTAATTTTGATGAAAAATTATCAATTGAATGGGTATTTCTTTTTTTTTTAAATAGGAAATCGAGATCTCGGTACATCTATCGCAACTCAAATTTTATTAGCTTTTCATATGTTATTTGTTAATATTCTTCTTATTAATCTTCTTATTGCTATGTTTAGGTATGTGTTATTTTATTTAAATATGAAATAAATATAATTATTTAATTTTAGTTATACATTTGAATCCGTACAAAATCAAACTGATCATGTATGGCGTTATGAACGATATTCATTTATTCGTGAATATTTTGATCGACCACCACTTTTTCCTCCATTTATTATCATAACTCATTTGATTGAATTTATTAAATTCTTGATAAGACTTTGTTCAACAAGAAATAATTCAAATATGAAAAAAAATCGAGCAAAAATATTTAGTAAATTAACAGATATTGAAAATAATTGTAATTTTAATTTTTGACATTTTAGAAATGATTGGTGCTAATCATGAAATAGATAAAGATTGGTCAGAATTTGAAAGTTATGCAACAAATCTTTATGCTCGAACAATAGTTTCTGGTAAATCATCATCATCAGCTACTGTTGTAACATCAAGAACACATCAAGAAATTCCACCAACAACATTAGATACAATGAATACTTCACAATCATCATCAACTATAGATGTTAAAGGAATTACTGATGAAATGGCATCGATTAAAAGAGTTGTTGGAGATCTTCGTACATATGCTGAAGAAGTTAGATGAAATAAAATAATTTTAAAAATATTTTCTATTTGTTTGTTGTAGATGAATAGATCTATGCAATGGATGATGGATGCAATGGAACGTGTTAAAATGTCTAAAGAACCAAGACCGATACCAAGATCAGCAGTAACAACTCATAGTGAGATTATTGAATTTTTTTTTAATTTTATTTTTATCTGGTTATTTTGTTAGATCTAAACCAAACTGATGAAAGAGTTTTGCTGTAATTAAAATCTATGCATTTTCAAACGTTTTGCTGTCAATCGATTTTTTTGAACATTTTCGAAAGAACTCATCAAGGCTCTCATGTTATTAAATAATACTTGAGTTGAATGGTCATCTTTTAATGAGTATATTTACTTTTTTATTTAGTAAATAACTTTTCAAAAGAGATCGCGTAATACATAAAAACTGCACTATCATATTGTATAGCCGCAATCAATGATTATGTTATTTCAAACACCAGTGGTTTGTTTCTAGTTAACGAATGACACATAAAAAAAATGCAATTTTTGTGTTGTCAATATTTCTTCTATCTTTCTCATTTCATCGAGGAGTATACTTTTATGAAAAGTTTTTTCATGACATTAATTCATAAAGAATCGATAATACTTTCTCTATTGATTCACTAGACGATGTTACTCGTCCTTGTACAAATATTTATGGAGAAGTTCTTTGTAGATGTTGCATACGTCTCTTAACTATTCCACATACAATGAGATCAGTAACTCACATTGATTCTTCTACACAATAATAAAAACTGAACTTTGTACTTGAATGTACATAGTATTTCATTGGATAACATTAAAAAAAGAACAACGAAAAAAGATCATTGTTGACTTTTAAATGAAAAACGAGATGGTCAAGAGTATTATCAATAGAGCAGAAATATTTTTTCTTGTCTTTCACCGAATCAATAAAATAATAAAAAAAAGCTTTCAATTCTATTTATATGACTACAGTAATGTAAGTGTTGATTACAGCTCTTGAATCATACTAGCATTGTTGATATATCTTTATTTAAAAAGATTTGATTTGATTTTAAGCTACAAACATATATCATCCCAGTTCAAATAGACATACTCGTCAACGGCACGAAGTTACAGCTGTATACGACCGCAAACTTTGTGATATGATAGTATAAAGCACCGTTTTCTTTCTGTTTCGACGACTATAATCATCGTCCTAGAACGCCCTGGTTCATCATTGCAGCGATCGTAAATAATCTTATGCAAGCTGTAAAGAAACTTATTGTTGAAAAAGTATTACAGTTTGTAGGTGTTGAGAAAGAGAAGATTGACGCACTCACCTCTCCTAGCCAGTGCAAGACACTAAATGAACATCTACCCAAGTCAATCAATATGTATCACCGTCAATTATTCTAACGTTACCATATTTCTGACTCTATTTTTATGGAGAAACATGGCCCGTTGATGTGGTATATTTTACTGTAAACAGTTGCATTTTTCGATCAGAATAGCTTGATGTATATTTTTTCCAAAATAATCCGAGATAAAATTTCAAAAAGTAAAGTGTCGTAATCAGTTTTCAGAAGAAACTGTAATTCTAATAAGAGAGTTTAGTTAAAAACTAGTGAAAATAACACAAACAAAGATGTACAAAAAAAACGAGCGATATTTGTGAAACTCGATTTAACATAGCTAGTCGATATTTCTACCAATGTTCACTTACTGGAAGTAAACGTCATAAAAATGTTCATTTTTTATTATTTAAAGTCTATTATCCTTATGTGGTTCAAACTAATGAAGTTTATTGAATGCCATGAATGATTATTGCGTTTCATGGAAATAGTACAAACACCAACAAAGTATCGATACGCTAAACTTAACATTTTCAAACAAACATTTTATTAAATACTGTACAGATTTTGAAGCATCACTTTTTCTTCTTTCTAATCAATAAAATATTTTAGTTTAGATGGATTCTTATCGATCATATATAGAATATCAATTATATTCACTTTTGTAAAATTTATCTAATTATCCTTGAATTTATGTTATTTTTCAAATACTCTACCAACTTAACGATAAATAATGTAAAATAAAATAAAATTTGTCGTGAATAGTTCATGCTTTCAAGAGAAAATATTTATTGAAAAACCAAAGGAGTTATTTTTTTTCTTTGTCAATCAGATGTTAAATTGTAGTATAACCTATAGCGTATAGCTCCAGGTGTACATTGCTTTCTTGATTATCTGTGATGACATTAAGTTCAGGCTTTGATGAACAATAGAAAAATTCGAGTGTTTCAGAATCAAATGAAAAAGCACTTTGATAGTAACGATAACCACGTTTAAATTTTGTATCTCTAATACCGTATTCAGGACATTCAGTCCATAACCATACATTAAATGCAGCTTCACCAGGATTCATTCCACTTCGAATGAAGACTGTAACGCTAACTTTTCGTGCTGTAGATGGAAATATGGTGTTAAGTGGAAACGTGACTTGTTCAAGCGTATTGAATTGAAATTTACCAAGTGAATATGGAACAACTTTAGGATTCGTCAAACTGACGTAAGAAAATTCTAATATTATCAATGATCATAAATAAATATTCATTATTAGAATATTGACTTACGTTTATTATTGTTAGCTGTATTATGAACAACAAGAAGAGTAAGCAGAAAAATTACAAACTTCATCTTTTCACAAAGTCAAAATGAATGTGTACTTGTTTTGAATGAAACTTTAGTAGTATGTATTTGATTTGAATAAATTGCCTCTTCAAACGAAGACAAGATATGAGTCATATATGTGCAAATAAAAATGCAATCGACGAATGCATGATCACGATTTATCAAAATTGTATTGAAATCATTATATCTAATTTTTTCATGAGGTTTAAATTATTTTACTTCAAAAAACTGAGGTTTACTAATAAAAAGAACTGAGAGCAGTTTTCAAGTGAAAACCTTATTAAGACTTTATAAACTTTATTTTGTCCATATTCTACAGAATAAAGACAGAAATTTTATCGTTTCAATGAGATCTACGATTTATTTTGTGAATATTTCTCGAGTGCTCTTGTATAAGCTTAAAGCAACGTGAAAGTGACTGAATTAATAATGAAGTCTCTTATCAACGTAAAGATAATCACAAGATTAAAGTAATGATCAAGTAGGCACACACTTGAATCCTATTTTGATAAGTGATACATATAGTCAACCTTCTTCGTTAAATATGCAGAACTCTTTAGGTAAATGAGTTGAAGAAAAAAGTGGAAGAGAATAAAAAATGCGTTTACGACTGAAGCAGTAATAATAATCACTCTGCACTAATGTTTATAGAAATTCTATTTTACAGATTGATTGATATATTATCCAATGCGACAAAGCGAGTTGAGATTTTAGCTCTCAACGAAAGTATGGAAAACGAGATTCTGATGCTATTTTTCATTAGAATTTAATGTGTAATATGCTCAAATGCTATAGAAAAGTATTCTCTATGGATCTACGTAAACTTCTTCTTCATAACTACTTTCATTCAAGTGTTAGGAGGATTTTTCTGAGACCCCTAGATTTCAATAAATTGACCTTGAAAGATTCGAAAAGGGCTTCATAGAGGGGTAATTCATCAAGCTGAGTCCAATAGTAATTTGTGTTTTCAGTTTCAAAAGAACTTCAGATTACTATTCGAATTTTGTCGAAATTTTGATTTTCATGCTACTGTATAAAGGGACTTTTGAAGTTTGACAAAATAATAGAATAGTAATGTCATGTTACTTGGAAACTGGAAATTAACATCACCATTCGATTCGGCATGATGAATCGTTTTTGTATGGAGTCCTTTTGAAGTCTTACAAAGTCAGTTTTCTGAAACGAGATGTCTCAGGAACACGTTCGTAACTCTTATATGGAAATGGTTAAATAGTTGGGGTTTCCGTAAATCAAAAAAGCAGACCTTTCTCTATCGATCGATTATACTTGGGGTATAGCAAAACTAGCGTCAGAATTATCTTATGTCCATATAGAAAGCTTGAAGAAATTTTCTTTTTTTATGTACCGATAGAGAAAATGACTCTGTATTTTTCTGTGCGATGTGGCCACCGTAGACTTTATGTCGTAACCATAAAATTACTATAAGAACTGTTTTTCCGTAAAATGTAAAGATTGTGCGGGTGTGGGTGTGGGTTTGAACTAGGATATGGAAAACACCAACATCTACACTTACACCCTTCTTGACACACGATGAAAGACCATATATCACTAATGTCTTCTTAGAATATATGAACTACTTTCATGTTGAAATACTATAGGATTCAATAAGCAGTAGTGGAGAAAGGTATCTCAGAAAAGATTAAAAAGAAAACAGTTTTTATGAGAATACCAACAACAGCTATATCGAATTTCACATTTTAATTCTGTGGAGATTGTATTATTTTAATTTGAAAAAAATAAATTTTTGACATTCGCCGAAAACACAGATTCTAGTTATTTTATACGCAAAGAATTACTCAATGACCTTCAAAGTCTTAATTTTTTAAATTATAATAGTTTCGTCGATCAGTAATACTCAATATCGACATACATAAGATAGGTGTATGATCAAACAACCTCTTCATTCACTTTCGTACTCTGCTTGCAATCACAATCATGGATTTGCTTCAAATAGTTATTTTCGTGGTCTTATATATTGCTCTTTTATTTGCAGGTGATTCCTCAATATTTATTGTAACTTCGTGCTTAGGATTAGGAAGTAACGACCGTCGTCATAATACCTCTAGGATATTTCTCTATCCGATCAGCTTTTGTTTTTCAAGAGTGTGAGACTCACTCATTGAATATCTAATGATATTTTAAGAAACCTCTTGTGAGGTATTTCTCACAACAAACACCTTTTGTAAATCACTCAAATAAGCTTCTTAGTTTTTCATTCGCTGTAAGTTAAATGAAATTTCACGCCTTGACCTTATATTAACTTAATGATTCAACAGATATGAGTTATGTGTTCTTTTCATAGTCTAAACCCTTCAGCACATTTTTTTTTTGAAAATGTTTCTAGGAATCAGGTATTTTAATTAATTAGATCTCTCTTCTATTCTAGCTATACAAGCTGTAAACTTGAATCCTAAAAAGTTTATTATGATGAGAACAAGACAAAAAACGTATGATGCCGCTCAAAAAGCAGATGGTAGAAACCCTCCAATACATCATGCCAAACATTGAAATGAACCAGGACAGTATCGTCATTTTCATACATTGAAATTCAACAAAAAAAAGGAATGAATATGTGGAAAGTGGTGATGGATTACATTTTCAATATCCAGATTAGAGACTTATTTGACATTTTCAGCCTGCTAGAACGTTTCATTTCAGTATTTTTCATGTAATAGATCATAATCATAAGCTGAAACCTCGATGGTGATGTTCAAATAAAATTGCCAACAGTATTGACGGTTCAGTCACTTTAAATTAAAACTAGATTTGGATAGTAAATGGTTCACCCGTTATTGTTATTATAGTCCATCCAAAAAGTTTGTGCGTGGAACTGCTTATGAATAACTCGAGAACAAAAAGACAGAAATTTGCAGTTTTCACCATTCGAAAGAATGGCGTCAGAAGTATCCATCTGTGTAACAGCCACTAAGTTTGAAGAGCTCTTTCATGGCTGCTTTTAAACGGATAGTTTTTTTGCTGTCTTTCCTTATCAAATTTCAGAAGAATTTCAACTCACATTATACACAAACATAGTCGAAACCACTCCATATTTCCACAAAAATTATCATGTTCTTAGAAATCATGGCAGCGAAAAAGATCGAAAGAGCGGCTCAACATTTTACTGCAAAAATGAAGTGGCTTCGGCTACATTTTGTGTACAATTTGAGCTGAACTTCTTTTGAAATTTGATGAAAAAAGACAGCGAAAATACATCAGTTTAATCCTTTCATGATGCGAGTACAAGGATTGTACTACCTATTTTTCCTGTGGGAAAAATATTTCATTTACACTTAAGTATTAAAACTTCTTATACATAGAGGCTGTGGAGTGCTCCAACTGTCATGTTATACATGGAGTTGATCGATTCAATCAAAGAAGGGTGTGCGTGTGCGTGTGGATGTGAGAGTGAGTGGAAGTGTAGACATTGTCTCGATCATCCCACAGCCACACCCTATCAGAACACCCGTCCGGTTCCAAATCAACTTTTCGAATGATATTGGTTTCTTAAAATACCTTTATGGTTTCCGAATACACTAATTAGGTTTCTGACAGTAAAGGGTATACCAGTAATTGACAGATCTACCGACAGATCCGTCGATCTAAAATCTGTACTAGTACCAATTTCATGTCGGAATCTGAGTTGAAGTAGTATGAAATACGATCTTTAAAGTGATTGTAAATAACAGATTTCCATGGACACACGACAATTGAATGTACACTATTACGATCACAGAGTTATATGCTGTTGAGTTTCGATCCTTAACAGTGCTCAAATCTGACAATTTTAGAAGGTACTATGATGATTCTTCATACAATTCTACACAGTAATGACTGAAATATATTGTTTTACATATATGCAAAAAGATCAATCTTATCCAACGTTATTTCTAGGTCACTTTATCTGGACGAATCAAATTAGATTCATATCGAGGGCTTGTAAAGGTATATTGATATTATCTACGTGTGAATTTCGTTTAAAAAATGTATTTCAGAATTGGCGGACTTGGAGCGCCATTGGTGTTATTAATGATTTCATCAAAATTTTGACTATCAAATTTCATTTATTCAGCGTATAAGCCTATTCCAATCTTCTGATCGTTAGAGCTATCGCATGCGACTTTTATATCAAGCAAGTATTCAGCTCTTCACTCACTCGGTTTGATAAAATAATAACGAAATGATGTTGCTTTTGTCTCTCGTTGTCGCTCTTCTTTTCAAACCAATAACAGGTTACAAAAGCACAAATTGAAAAGTTCTACCACTACTTAGAATGATGAATTTTCTTCTGTTATAGGTGATTCATGCGAATCATACACACATCCGACATATGGCAAGACTGGTCAATGCATCAAAACGTCAGACTGTCCCAATGCACTCTATGTGTCGAACTTATGTGAAAGCAAACCGATTGACATTAAATGTTGTTTCTCGGGCACATTAACTGGTAAAACTATCACAAAAGTACTAAATATTCAATTTCTCACATATGCTTATCTATTGAAACAGTTTGTCCCAACATAATAAGTCGTGCTGAATGGGGAGCTCGAGCGGCTACCGTTAACGTAAAGTTAGCGACGCCCGTTCCTATTGTCGTCATTCATCACACCACGGCAGCTAATTGTACAACCAAGGCAGAATGTATGGCTAGAATGAAGAGAATTCAAAATTATCATATGGATTCACAAAGTGAGTAAGTCATATGTGAAACGAGCTGAGTTGTATATGCAGCCTCTTCTAGAGTGGGGTGACATTGGATACAATTTTCTGGTGGGTGAAGACGGTAACGTATACGAAGGCCGAGGATGGCAGCAAGTCGGTGCCCAGACCTTAAATTACAACTCGAAATCAATCGGTATCAATAGACCACATTTGTCTCATTTTTTTTTACACTATAGTACATTCTAGGCATTTCGGTCGTTGGTGATTATACTCATCGTTTACCAAATGATGCAGCTTTGAACGCTGTCAAACAGTTGATCAAATGT